TGTACTTGCCGCTTAAACAAATTGATTTAAATGGGCTTTTCAATAAGCATAGATATTTTTTAGAATGCATTGCTAAAAAGTGCATTAAATGCAGATATAATGCATGATAAAAATGTGCTTTAAAAGTACATTTACAATCCACTTTTAATGCAGATTTCAATATACATTTAAAGCTCATTATACGTGCACTGGGTAATGACTTTACTTTTAGTACATAAAATTGGAAAAGCTCTCTTATTTCTTGATTGATAATCGAGCAGAGACTGGCGATCTATACAGTACAGTAGTCTGCATCTTCGCGCTATTTGAAGCGCGTCCATATGTCCGTACATGTCTTGCTAGAGCTTATATTATTGAAGAAGGAATATGGACGTAGAACTGTGAGCAAGATCTAAAGAACAGAAATATCTTTCTATTCTCTTCTATTCTCTTTTGGCATATGTGCAGAAAGAAGAAAAGTTAGCAGGGCAGAAATACATCTTCTGTCTCTCAGATCTTGCTAACATCTTCTATCCATTACTTAGAGATCATTCCCTCTCCAGTATAAGCTCTATGATCATTGAGATATTTAAAATTTAATAATCTCATTCTATCTTACATATAATTCTAATCAATTTCAAATCTATTTATATGTTATTCTAAATCTGTTTTTCGTTTCAATTGTATTATGAAATGATGTGCTGTTATAATATAAATTTTTTATTCTTAGAAACATTTGAGAACTTTTATCGTAATGTATATATAGGTACACATAACTATTAAAGTTACAACTGCTTCATAAAAATTTTATACGTCAAAAGATTAATGTTATTTGCATATTCTTTAATCGTGTATTCAAAAAACTTATCAATGTATAAAAATTATATTATTATCTACTTCCTTGTTTACCACAAGAATTTTGATAAAAACTTTAATAAATATTTAGATGTATGCATAAGCGGACATATTTTCACATACATTCGTCAGAACTTGTATTTATTATTAAAAAAAAACAATATTTTATGTTCATCCTTGGATGGAATGATATGTTTGACGTATTCAAGTAATGATAAACGTAAATGTAATAATAATTTGTTTTAATTTTTACGTTAGGAAATTTACTATCTTTGATATAGAGGAAAGTCGCCGATACCGACGTAAGTCTCTTAAAACGATACCCCTTTATTTCTCAGAAACTAATTATTGCATTTCATTAATACTAATAAAAACATGACCTCTTAATTAATTAAAAAAGTGTAAATATATATAATTCATGTATTTGTGGCTTGTTTCTATATCAATCAGCTAAAAACGAATTATACTAATGCGAAAATAAAATTCTTATTTTGCAAATTGCGTAATTTAAATAATAATGATATTATTATTATATTGTGATATTATTATATTATTAATAATATTACGTCGTAAATAAATGCTTGTAGTTTTCTAAATCAGTTTTATTTATATTATTTTCTTTCTTAGTTTTTCTATAATTTTAAATATAAAATCAGAGTTTAACGTAAACTGACACAGTAAAACAAATGTAAAACAAATTATGAAACATATTAACTTAATCTTTGTAATGTTGCTTTATGTCAAATAATTCTATCGGAGCTAAAGCCAATGGTACATATATGGCAAAGCTTTTGAAAAATTATCGCATTATATATTTGCATCTTACAGAATAGCATAAAGTAAATACGCATATAATTCAACAAAAATGTTTTATATTGAAGTGAAAAAATTCTAGAAAATCTTATATACATTCACTTGTAGATATTTTATTCAGATATTTCGACGCGTAGTTCAAATGATTATAAATATGGTATATATGCAAGTATATTGCAATTCAGATTGAATTATTTAAGCATTAAAAATCTAACTTTGATCGTTGCGCTTTTATTATTTCTATTTCTTACTATTAAATTTATTCAAATAATTTCTGTGAAAAGAAAAGAATAAGAATATGTGGCATTACTGCTCATTGTGTCAGTTTTGGAACCCATTAAATCGCTTATTTTTGTTTATTTTATGAAAAAATTAATTATTGCAAAATTACAAACATTATTATAAGAATTTATAATATTTGATAAAAAGCTTATATTATTTGAGAGAAGATACTTTTCAGTTTATATTTATGTATTTCAAATTTTATTTTTATCTTTTGTTTAAGAAATATTGTCTAAAAATGAAATGGGGTATGTCGATATTGGTGACCTTTCTTTAATATCATGGAACTATTTTAAA